TAAATATAGGGATTATGAATTTAGCACTGAATTGTATTTTAGACTATATTCATTATTACTTGAATTTATAGAGTTATATTCTGTAGTACGTAGAATAAAATCATTATTTTTTGTGAATATCTTTTTAATTTCCCTTTTAGTCCTTAGAGATAATGAGAGTATCCATGATCCCAATGAAGTAAACTAATTCAAAAAAATAAATATAATTTTTATATATACAATTTATAGGTCTTAAAAATTTTATTTTATTAAATATTATTATAATTTAGTATAATTATTATATTTTTTCATACATTGAATTTATAACCTGGATGAAAATTGTAAAAGTGAAAACTATTCCGAATATTGCAATAATAGGTAGTCCTATTATAGATAGTATAGATCTAGATTTAGAATAATGAATACTATTGTCTAGATAATATATTTTTATTAAATCTGATTGTCCAGATTTTTCATTTATTGGATTTACTGATAGAATACTTGCTTTATTTTCTATTAGATATGTTTTTAATGACTTTGGTATATTATCGCACATTGAATCAAACATATAAGTTTCATATGCTTCCTGAAACATTCGTATAGCCTTATAAAAAGCATTTTCATTACTACTGTGACATTCACTTATACGGCTTTTATATAATGCATAGCATTTATTAGCATGATCGCAATCGTTTGTCCCTGAAAATTTCAAACTATAATATTTATACATATAATCATACAAATTGTATAAAAATTGAATGTTATTAAAAACTACATCATCCATACTTTTTATATTCAGTTGGTACTTATTTAAAGTTAGGTGATAATACAAATCATTTGCTATAATGTTATTATAGAATGTTTCCACATAATCGTATGGTTTTCCAATATTCTTAGCTCTGTATATAACCAATAATTTAAATATGTAGCAATTTCTTGCTTATGATGGGGATTAGAAATTATCGAATTATTAGTATTTATATATTTTATGCTTCTTACAAGAGATAAACAAATGTTCCTATTAGCATCGTCATTATATAAGACTCCATTATTTGACATACATAAAAAGCCATAAGAATAATCACGAATATTCATAACAAAATCAAGTTTTTCTTTCAATGAGATAAATGAGCCTATATGCATATATTAAATATATAAAAAAAACATAATAATGTTAAAACATAATGTATTAAATTTACAAAATCTTATTTTTTTTTCTTTTTTATCAGATTGAAATTTGTGTCAATGAAAAATAAATAAAAAAATTTTAATATATTAGAGAATAAAATGCACTTCATCTTCCACTTTTATAGGTTGTATTAAAATTTTGCTTCAAAATACAGTGAAATGATTAAATTTGTTGTTATGCATGCATTTATATATATTGTAAAAATATATAACTATTGATATTATATTAATGACAAAGATCAATTATATATATCTTTTTAATATATATACATTCATATATTATAGAATTATAATATAATGTTATTATTTCATTCATATTAAACGAAAAATGATTATACATATCAGTATTGTAAACATATGTATGATATATTAAGTACATATTAATTTTACATGGAAGAATATAAATTGATTTTATATATATTGTTCTTCAAATATATGATTCTATTTATGATTATAAAAGTAAACTAATTATGGTAAAGTGACTATAAATTTGTGTATATTTAATAATAAATATATTTATTTAATTTAAAATACTATATATAGATATAAATAAAAATTACATCAAATTTAAAGAACAATAATACGTATTGTACATAATCTCATTATATAGGGTAAAATAATTTCTTGGTTCTTATGTAAAATTTATTATTAACTCAAATAGTATATGCATTCCTTAAAAATATATGGAATTTTGTATTAAGAATGCATATATTTTTACATATACGAACATTATATATTACAAAATATTTTAAAAATATTTCTACATTTAATTTTTTTTTTTTGTTATATTTAATATTTATCATATATGATTTATATGAAAATTTTTTTTATGTGTTCTGTGAATTATATGAATTCAGATAAATCCATGAATGCTTTGTTTAACTATTAATAAATAAAATGAGTTCATGTCTCTTTTTAGAATGTTATTTCTTTGTATATTTATGTATTTCTATATTCCGTATAAAATAACATTTGAATGAGGCATATATTAATAATTTAAAATATTTTAAACACCTATTATAATTAAAAATTATATAAATGAAAAATGATATATAAAATTAAGGGACGATAAACAATTTTCTTTATATATATTTAAAAAATGGGGAAGTTATATATTTTACTGTACAAATATACTAATATGCATAACCATATTAATGATTGCATATTTATTATTTCTGTTTTACGGGCTTAAGGTTTAGAAAGTGAAAATATAAAAATAATAAAACATTTCTTTAATGATAATGTCAAAATATATCATTTATATCACCGTGTTACGTGATTATATATGTAACATTTATTACAATACTACTTCGTAAGTCCCTTATATGTAGTAAGGTCTCATTGGAAAATTATAACAGGCTTTAGTAATACATTCATTTATTTTCCTGTTTACATTTAAAAATAAATTTTTTAAGTGCTTATATATTATTAATATATTATAATTATATTTTTACATTTTAATTATATGAAATTATTTAAGGATATATAAAATATATTTTTAGTATGGTATTAAAAATAAAAAAACTTGTTACCAACATAAATATTAATAATTTATTCTTATAGTGGTGTATCTTGTGTAAAATTCAGTATTTATAAATATAATTTAACTTTTGTTTAACCATATACATATTTTTAGTTCTAGGAAACAAATTAAATTATTTTTTTTATTATCCCATATTACTATATTCAAAAATATAACACTGAGTCAAGAATTTGTGTAAATTTATTATTATTAATTTCTATATAACAAAGTGTAGAAAAAGCTGGAATTTTTATATTTATGTTTTACTTTTTACAAACTTTTACTCCTTATCAAGAAAATGTATCTTATAGATAGTAAGGAATAAAATTTACCAGAAATATTAAAAGTATTGAATGATCTTATTATTCAATTTGTTTCATTGTATGAAATAAATTTTTATTTATAAAGTAATTTACATTTAAGTTCAATAAAAAATAAAGTGATGCCTACTTTAAATATTTTAAATACGAATTATTATAAGAAGAGAAATCATTTTTATCTGAGATAGCTAAAATAGCACTTTAAGAAAATGTATATAAACTAAAAAATATATATCTGTGAATTATATATAAAACCATGAACAAAAGGAATAATATATATATATATATGTTTATTGTTAATTATATATAAAATACTTTTATCTGTCTGAATTCATTATTTTCGTTTGTTCAATAATTACATGCATTTAAATTTTAATATATATCATTACAGAACAAAATATGTTATATGAACAGAACCTATTATTAATTATCAATATGATTTAATGATTATTACTAATTATATATTTGTTAAATGGAGGAAAAAAGAATATTATTGATATAATGGTAATTACACTTATTTATGATATTTTCTTAACGAACTATTTCGTATTTTATATTGTTACTTGATACATACATAAATTCTAAGAAAAAACATATTTATAATAGAAACACTACTTAACTAATTGAACATAGTTTTTAATTAATAACATTTTTATCATAAAACAATTGGTCTTTTTATACTTGATAATATAAATAAGTACTTATACGTATGATAATAATGATATTATTTGAGAATTTTTTTGTATAACTTATGTAAAAATAAAATTAATAATGGGATTTATTATTGTATCTAACAGAACATGTAAAAATGGGGGATATAAAAATTAGATGATTTTCATTTACCTCTAATTCTATTCCTATCTTGTTGGTGTGTTTTCCCCTTAAATTATTCACTGGATTCTTTATAATATATTTAGTTCTTACATCATATTATTTAATATCACAGACAATAGTAATATATATAATTTCTTCTATTTTAGAATTTGTATCAACATTGCTAAATGAAGTTTCAAAATATTGACAAGATTAATCTTTGTTTATAAGACTCCTTAGTTGTTTTTTATATATACCCCCCATTTACAACCAGGGAAATGAGGAGTAAAGTATTAATTAAAGTATGTTCATAATAAGTTAATTAGAGATGTTAATACTATAGCACTAATTTATATATGATAAATTATAGTAATAAGGTAAATTATCCTAAATTAATAATTAGTATAGTATAATAAATTATATATAAAAAAAAATAAACAGTAATGTTTTCAAAAGTGTTGAACATTCTATAAAAATAACAATAGTCATTAGAGGTGCAGGTTCCACATGGTTATTTAAATTGAACTTAGGGATGCATATTATGTAATTCACAGGATTGATTTTTTAGTCAAAATTGTGTATTTTCTGTATCAATATTATATACAATTTTACGTTGAACTCTTTTTATATTTTCTGCATAATTATAGTATTCACGAAGCTGTTTCTAAGAATTAGGTTCTATGAATTTTGAGAGATTTACAAAAAAAAGTTATCGGCATCTTGAACATAAATTTCTATGATTCAAGTTTAATTATTTTCATAAATTATCAACATAATTTTTCCATATATTTTCATTTTCTTCACATTTATTCCTAGGTGCATATATGTGCTGCTTTTGACCTGATAACCCATTCAAAGTTTTGCAAGTGCCATTCTGTGCATTACTCTTTTCAGAAAATTGTTTTACTTCTATATAATTCTGTATAAGATATAGAGAAATAAGTTTTCATATA